AGCGAAGGCCCCGCAGCGCCCGGCTCGGTGTCATCGCGGCGCAGGCCGGCAGGAGCTCCTCTCTCTGCCGCCTCCCTCCCTCCGGCGAGCACCGACGGGGGACGGAGACGGACACTCGCCGAGGGAAGAGCTCGGGCTTTCAAGCCGGTGCCTGGAAGAGCTTCCGAGAGACCGGCGGAGGCGGCGGAGGCTTCTTCCCCGGCCGGCGGCCGATCCTCTCTGCGGGCACCTCGGCTGGGGCTTCCTTTCGCCGCCCGGCAGCAGCGCCATCCTCGAGGGGGGGCCCTTCGAGGCATCTCCCCTGCTCGAGGCTCTGCCGCGGGAGGCTGGAAGCGGCCGGGCCGGGCCTCCCCCCGGCGGACGAAGCCCCCACCTCCTCGGCCGGGCCTCCCCGAGCGTGGGTCTCTTGCGGTCCCCGTGCTCGGGGAAGGGAGCGCCTTTCCAGGACCCCCTCGACCCTGGCCGCCCTGCCCCCGAGGCGGCGAGCCCTACTTCTGGCCTTGCCCGGGGCTAAGGCAGCCGGGCAGGTCGCGCTGGCGCCGGGCTTACTCTGGCGCAGAGGCTGCGCGCCTACGCCCGACCGCGCCGGGAAAAGACGGGAACGGCTCTCTGCGAACCACGAAATCCAGCGCGACTCGGAGCTCAGCGCCCGCCGCCGCGCCCCGCCCCAGCTTCGAGGGGGCGTGGCCCCGCCCTGAGTGACAGCCGAGGCCTTCCTTTGTGCCACCGCAGGCCAAAATAGCCCTCCTGAGGCGACAACCAATCGGAGGCCGGCTTTATCCCGAAGCGGTTGACTAGCGTCAAGTTCAGCCACTGGCGTGGACTAGAACCTGCGACTGGCATCTCGATCCACCAGTAGGAATGGTAAGGCGGGAGAGGGCGCCCAATCGCCGCTCGCGTAGGGTGGGGCTCCTCGTTGTCGTTGTCGTCCTCCGCCCGAGCCAGAGGAGTCCGGTCGGTGGGTCGTTCGGTCGGTCGGAGCCGAGAGAGGCGGCGGCGCGGGATTTCTTTCGGTGGGCCGCAATCGTCCCGATTAATCGGGGACATGTCGAGGAGAGCGGGGCCCCGGCGGGCCGCCTGGGGGAGACGGGCG